AACACTTTGGTGGTGGATGGCCGTGACGTGGAGGCACTGTGCCAGGTGTTCTGGCAGGCAGCTCAAATGAAGAACAAGCCCACTGCTGTGGTTGCCAAGACCTTCAAGGGCCGGGGCGTTCCAAGTAAGGAAGTGTTGCTTTTATGCTTAGGGTTGTTAGCCTCTGCACAGCACATGAGGCTGAGGCTCGCTGAGCAGAAAGACAGCTGACTTCATGCACAGTGATTAATGCTTCTGACATGTGCCAGACACTCTTGCTCTCCTTGATGCTTATAGATAGCAGATCTGGTCAGGGCTGGGGAGGGGAAACCCAGACGCCCAGCAAGTGATTTGAGCACCAGGGAGCACGAGGGAGCGGCTGGGAGGATAGTCCCATCAGTTATCGGACCAGCAGGGAACCATCTCCACAGGGCATGCAGAGTGAGAGAGGGTGTGTGAGCAGATACTTAAACAGGAATGTATGCACATGCATGCAATGGCCTGTGCCCACGCTACCTGGGAGGACACACAGGCTGCTAGTAAAGTGGCCCCTCTGGGAAAGGCAGCTGTGGAACTGAGGGTCAGGGGAGGAGGATGGTTGAAAGTCTTAGTAACTTCTTGCAGATTTCAAAGCGGACACCTAAAGTTGTTCATCTCCAGTATGAATAGTTGCAGTGGGAGTGATTTCTGCTGTGTTGTTAATATTAACATTTTAGAAGAAAACTATTCTCTGACTTCTCCTTAAAATAGTCTTCTGGTACACCCAGTTCAATAAATGACAACTTGCCCAATTTGCTCCTGTAAGAAACCTGGGTATTTCTTTGTCTACACCTCTCCTTTATGTGCCACCCCACACACACACCCAGTCTGTCATCCATTCTAATTGATTCTGCTCCTAACGTATGTCTCAAGTCTGTTCACTCCTCTCCACCTCTCTTGCCCAAGCCTGGTCTTCTCTCCCTCACTTCAGTCTCCTCAGGCCAGTCCCCATATGCCTGCATTGGTGATCTTTCTGCAACATGGATCTGCTCAGTTACCTCCCCCACTTCCAAACCCTTCAGGGGTTTCCCATCTTGCTTTGGGCCAAAACTCAAACTCCTTGTACCCACAAGATCCTCCCTGCCTGTCTCCAGCCTCATCTCCCTCACCGTTCCCTCCATTCACCAGCACGTTAGCCAGTGGCCCCCTTAAGAGCCTCTCAGCCTTTGTCCAGGCTGTCTCCTGCCACCACAGTACCATGTCAGGCCCCTTGTGCCAGGTTTTTACTCTGTGGCTGACATCTTTCCCTTCCAAATGTCTTTCAGATGACTGAACAGGGGCTCGTGAGTTACAGAATAAATGTCTTTTATCCATTGGGTTACAGGTGTTGAAGATGAAGAAAATTGGCATGGAAAGCCAATGTCCAAAGAAAGAGCGGATGCAATTATCAAACTAATTGAGAGCCGGATAGAGACCAATAAGAGTCTCGAACCAAAAGCCCCTGTTGAAGACTCGCCTCAAGTCAACATCTCAGATATAGAAATGACGTCTCCACCTGATTATGAAGCCAGTGATATGGTAGGCAAACTTTTTTCTCTGCTTTTGCTAAATACAGAGGACTCCTGTTTACTCTGATTTCCCCAGATGAACCAATTCTTAGGTGGTGTGACATTTAGTTAAAGGTTATAAGCAACAAAGATGGATTTACCTTTTTACTATTTTGATATTTATTCTTTGATTTCAAACTTAACTCGGGTCTGAATTTTCTTACCAGTCAGTCACTACTTATTTGCGTCCAGTGCTGTGCAGTTTTTGCTTGCTTCCTAAATTCAGCCTGTAGTCTGGCAGACCATTGTGCATGAAACTCCATGATTCTATGTCAACTTGAAGGACAGGGGCCTAGCTGGATTGACCTTTGGGGCTTAATCCCTGGTTTACACAAGGAAGAGCACCAGTTCACCGAAGGCCAGTTCTTCAAAAAGGAGACAAATTAGGCATGACACCCTGATAAACCCTTTCTGTTTTTATCATGATTTTTGTGTCCTGCCTTCTGGTATATTACAGCAGATCCAAAATAGGCAGGCTCTTCACAACCTAAGGAAACAAGGCGGCGAGCCTGGGAGGAAGGAAATTTTTCTGACTCTTATTTGTGTTCCTTATTTATTTGGGAACATTTTGAGTGTTACTTATGTTTTCTTGGCATGGTAATATGGATTAATAATAAATGAATTGACTGAGAAACTAGAAAGCAAATTTAAAAGCAGAAGAAAGCTGTTAATAAAAAGCACATATTAACAGAAGGTACTTTGGTAATATGTGTTAACACCAACTGTTCACACTCTTCAAAGTAGAAGTGCAACTCACAGGTATTTATCCTACAGAAATACCTGTGCAAGCGTGCAGAATAGAATGAATGTTGATTCCAGCATTGATTATGGTGAAGTGTTTATGTCTAGAAAGTATGTGAGATTATTGGAACTTTTCGTTTGAAGTGCATATATTTTATTAATAGAAATTAAGGACACAGGCCAATTGATTAAAAAGTTAGTGAATTAAAGAACAAGAAGTCACATTAATACACAAATCAATTCTCTGAATTACTAAACAGTAGGCAAGCCGTTACCTAGTCTACTTAAATAGATGAAAACTATAAATGAATAAAATTAGTCACTAGAGAAGACTACCACAAATCGAGAGAACATTCAGAGAATTTTGAGAAAACTATGCTAATTGGTATGAAAACCTATTTAAAAAATGGACCGTCTTAAGGAATACATAAAATACCAAAATTAAGTAAAAATACACAAACTGGCTAAGTAGGTCAGGGACTTCCCTGGTGATCCAGTGGTTAAGACCACGCTCCCAATGCAGGGAGCGTGGATTTGATTCCTAGTCAGGGAACTAAGATGCTGCATGCTGCACAGTGTGGCCAAAAATAAAAATTCTTAAAAACACTTAAGGAGATAACAGCCATTAGGAAAATTTGAGAAAACCGCCTAGGAGTTATACCTCCAAAGTGTCAGGCTCAGTTAGTTACAAGAGTGACTTAATTTTAACCTTCAAGGGATAGATTAATTCCTCCGCCATTTCAAATCTTCTTGAATATGGAGAAGGTCATTTATGAAGCCAAAATGTTATAAAGCTAGCCCAAAGGAAGAAACTACAGGCCAGCCTCACTTAGGAATATTGATTTAAAAATTCTAAATAAGACATTTGCAAAGAGTTGGACACGACTGAGTGACTGAACTGAACTAATGGAACTGAAATAAGACATTCACCAGTCTCAACTTCTTTAGTGCCTTAAAAGAAGTATTGGAATCAGTGAAATTCAAATTAGTAATGCAAATCATTCACCAGCATTAAGAGAGGAGAAATTGTGGTCGTTCAAAATAAGACTCCCTCCTGACAATGAGAAGGCAAGCCTATTTGCAGGTGGTAGAGTTGTATGTCTGGAAAACTCAAAAGAGAATCGAAATCAGAATGAGTAAGAAAAGAAATAAGAAAATACGTTAGAAATAAGAGTCTAGAAAGAGAGCTTGTAGCAAAACTAATATATAAGGATTGATTGTTTTCTCATATTAATAAAATTGAGAGATTATTCCTTTTTACAATAGCAATAAAAATAGCTAAAAATAAATGCATATGGTCTATATTAAGGTACTTATGAAACTATAGCTTTAAAAGCTCACATGCTGTCAGAAGAATACTTCACAACCCTATCCTTTCCCTTACCTCTGGGGAGAGGAACTGGGAGAGCAGGAGGAAGATGGCCTCTTCATTCAATATCCTTTCATAACTTGACTTTTGTACTCATCTCTGTGAATTGCCTGTTTTAAAAAATATTTTTAAGACTGTTTAAATGAATGAACAAAGATAGATAAATGAAGAGACAAACCTTATTTTTGTTAATAACAGCTTTATTGAGGTAAAATTTTCTCTACAATATACCCATTTGAAGTGTACAATCCAATGGTTTTTAGCATACGACAGAGTTGTGCAACTATTACCATGCTGAATCTTACAGCATTTCAGTCTTCCCATAGAGAAACACTATATTCACAAACATTACTCTCCATTCCCACCCAGCCCCTAGTAACTGCTAATTAACTTTCTGTGTCTGTGGATTTGCCTGTTCCAGACATTTCATATAGATGAGATCATCTAATATGCAAACTTTTTGAGGCTGCTATTTATCCATTCATCTGTTGCTGCATATTTGGGTTATTTCTACCTTTTGGCTATTGTGAATAATGCTGCAATGAACATTAGTGTACAGCTTTTTGTGTATTTGTATTTTTCTCTTGGGTAATTACCTAGGAGTAGAGTTACTGGGTCATAATTGTAATTCTGTGTTTAACTCTTTGAGGGAATACCAAATCTGGGGGTTTTTTAATAGAAAAAATATAGTAAAGGTGTCAGTTCTCCCCCAGATTAATCCATGGGTTCAGTCCAGTCTCAAACAGTATGCTAATGGAATTATTTTTTATTTGTATCATGATTCCAAAGTTCTCCATTTTAATATTTACAGTGAGTCTTATCATTTTTTAAAAATACTTATTTTTATCTGTGCTGTATCTTCGTTACACATGGCCTTTCTCTAGTTGTGGAGTGCAGGGACTGCTCTCTAGTTGTGTTGTGCAACTTCTCACACCGTGACTTCTCTAGTTGCAGAGCATGGGCTCTTGGACACATGGGCTTCAGTAGTTGTGGTGCATGGGCTCAGTTGTTGCACAGCTGTGGGATCTCCCATGAGCAGGGATTGAGCCAGTGTCCCCTGCATTGCAGGGTGGATTCTCAACCACTGGACCACCAGGGAAGCCCCTGTTACCAGCTTTATAATTAAAATAAGTCACAGAGGCATTTGCATGTTGGGAAATTTAAGTTTTTAATCACCTATAAGAATGAGACAAGAACAAATTTATTTTTGGGAAATTGATACTCAAGTGAGAGAAGTATGGATGTAAGATTGGCTAGCAATCCTGTTTTTGTTTTGTTTTTTGTTTTTTCCCTTTTGGCCGCATGTATGGCATGTGGGATCTTAGTTCCCTGATCAGGACTTGAACCTGTGCCCCCTGCATTGGGAGCACAGAGTTTTAACCACTTGACCGCCAGGGAAGTCTCAGCAGTCCTTTTTTATTACCCCAAGGGAGATTATTGGTGAATTACAAATTTGCTTTCTTCATTAAGGAGGATGACAATTCATAAGTCTGCCAAATTTCACCTGCCTTCTAAATGCATTCTAAGAAACTCTCCTGTTGATTTTCAGATAGCTACTCGGAAAGCATGTGGTTTGGCTCTGGCCAAGCTGGGCCATGCAAATGACAGAGTTATTGTGCTGGATGGTGATACCAAGAACTCCACCTTTTCTGACACATTCAAGAGAGAACACCCTGAGCGCTTCATCGAGTGTTTTACTGCTGAGCAAAACATGGTACGTGTGCTAGGAACATCACTTTGAGTCATCTCATTGACAAATGGCTACCCACTCGAGGAGGCCTGCCCCCTTACGGTTTTTCTTTCCACTTATAAAAGCAAAGGAAGTGGAGGGAAAAAGTCTCAGGGGAAACAAGTAGAGAGCAGTCAGGTAGAATGTGAGGGTTGGCTTCCAGGATTTCTGGGACAGGCATGGTTAGATGGCCCCACACACTCTCCAGAAAGTCTGCAGGCTGCAGCCATCTGATCTCAGGGCTCCAGGTCTGAAGAATGCCCAGCTCCCTAGTAGCTCTAGGTGGCCCCTGGGATGTTGTAGGATTGCCTGGCTGTGGCCAGTAGGTGCAGAACCTCAAGGGATTGTGGTTTGTCTCTCCACCCTGGGGCCTGATATAACCTAGATATTTCAGTGTTCGTGCAAGTAAATGCCTTGACTTCGCAAGTTCTGCACCCGTGCAGAGGACAGCACACATTTATTTACCCTCACATCACAGAGGCCAGAAACAGCACCGGCCAGAAATCTATGGGCCAGTAGGCCTCACATGACCAGAGATATTTTGTTTGGAACAAATAGTATTTACAAATATTTTAAATTAGTTGCCAGCGTTTTTAAAGTCAGGAAATTTTTATATGGAATCCAGATTTCTGGATTTTTCTTAAAGAATGGGAAGATCTGGCAACACTGGAACAACATTCCCTCCTTCCTGCCACCAGTTGGCTGGAGTCAAGCAGGGGCCCTGTTTAGATGGGCATCCACAGCCATCGCACCACGTCCCTGCCTCTTGCTGGCCTGCTCCTTTGTTCACGGCGCTTCCCTGGCCCTGTCAGTGTTGGCAATCTAAGCCCCTCAGTTCAGTAAACCAGGTCATTGAAATTGTAAGGATATGAGCATTTTTCAGTGGGTCTCCTTATTTCTATTTTGAATGGAAAAAAATACAGCTCATATTTTTCTGAATTGAGCCTCAAAAGTTTGCTTCCCTATGCATTGATTCTTTCAACCAGCAACTGAAAAACAAAAAAAAAAACCTAGTAAAGAAGCAGCCAGCAAGTGAGTAGTGTTCTGTGCTGCCAGATAAAACTGGTGGCTACGGGGAGAGCATGACTAGGGCCAATCAGGAGCAGGCTCTCAGAAGAGGTGACATTTAAACTGAGACTTCAGCGACAGGAGTCCGTCACGTGCAGATCCAGGGACAGCATTCCCAGCAGAGCGCCCAGCTAGCTCTGCTGCATGCCCAGATTGGAGCTGTTCAGGGAGCAGAAGGAAGGGCCCAAGACTCTGGTGTGGAGAAGAGCTTGCTGAGGGAAGTAGGGGAGTGGCAGGAGATGACAGCTTGGATCAGGACAGTGGCTGTGGGTTTGGGGAGATGCAGACTCATGCAGAGTAGATGACCAGGTGGAACCAAGGCTGGCACTAGGGCATAGGCCAGAGCACCTGGGAGACAGACAAGACTGGGGCAGGAATGGGTTTTGGGGACACAGGAGGTCTCGCTGAGCCCTGAGGGGTTAGACTACCTCTTAGACTGGGGGTAGGGATGCCAGGTAGGTCAGAAGGGATAGATCATTTATCTCCAAATATGTTTGCTTTCCAAACCGCTGAATGTCTTTTTCTAAGTAGATCTAAGCTTTAAGTTAACATCTAAATTTTTCATTGAATTTTTCAAGTTCACATCTAAATATATCCTTGGCATCTAGATTTAACTGATGCCAAGGATGTGATTTCCCATATATTATAATTTGTGACACTCGAATACTTAAATCATCGAGTTACACAAAGGCTCTCTCTGTCAGAAATTAAATGTTTTTCCACCTGAATTCTTACTTCCATTCTACTACTTATTCATGGAAGCCTTTTACTGATAATTCTTCAATAAACTATGCATATACATTGATGGTTTTTAAAATTTGTTTCCTACATCCACAGGCCTTGGAACATTACCATTTTTTTCTTCTGGATTGAGCTATGGCTATAATTTTTAGCTTGCGTAGCAGTAGTTAAGTACACTTAGAGCTAGAATGAGACAAGATTCAGAACAAAATCTATTTCTATTTAAATGATGTAAGTTCCAGAAAACCTTATTCAAGAAAATATGGTGCTGGGAAGTGAGAATTTTGTTGCAGCAGTGTCATTCAGTTCATTTGAATCCCGTCCCAGCTATAAGCCGAAAATCACAGTGATCTTTCATGTCCAGTTGTTTGTGGAAATTACTTGTAAAGGATTGACACTTCACTTAGGTTCACTTTCAGTTTTGTTAAAAGAATTGGAAAACCCCTGACTTACGGAAGGATTTGTTATCCAGTCTTTTGAGCTTTGTAGTTTCTCAAGGCTGCTGTGATTATTTCAAATTATTCTTTCTGTTTCTGGAGCTCTTACATTCCAGGATGTTGCCCCACTGAAGGAACAACCCGAGGTGGGCGAGAGTATACCTTTTGGCAGTTAGTTGCTGAGAGGCGATTATCAGGGAGACAGTGGGAAGGACGCCCTGGGCCCTTTCCCTAGCAGGCAGATGTGGGAGTCAAGGATCTTGATGTTGAGACCAGCCACAGCCATGCGCCCTTTGGAAGGTCTTTGTTTACCTCTGAGATACTCATCTTTGAGTTTGAAGGCCACCAGGGTGTGTGAGCCTGGCTTTGCAGGAGAGGTGAGCAATAGAGAGGCAGAGGAGACCTTAGCATCATGCAGATCAGAATGACACCATGGGACCCCGTGCTGGTTCCCTGTGAAGAGGGCAGATCAGGAGGAGTGTGGCACTCAACCCCAGGACTTAGTCCAGGTGCACCCCCTGGCAGATCCAGTCAGGGAGGGAGCAGCAACATCCAGTGAGGCAGGCGTTCCCTAGTGCTAGATGCTCCTCAGAGGTCAGATGCGATGCAGAGGAACTCAGGTGACCTCTTGCATTTGGCAGGTTCCAGGTCCCTCATGGGGATGGCGGCCTAGATGATGGAGAATGTGCAGAAAGTGGGAAATGAGGGAGCATGCAAGGTTTTCCTGTGAAGGAGAACATGGATGAAGTGCAGGATCTGGAGCAGGAGGACAAGGGGAAAGTGAGGGAGAAACTGAGGTGACATGGGAGGGGAGGGGACAACTGCATGGTCAGAGAGCCCCTTGAGAAAGCAGGAGAAGGATGAGCTTCAGCAGGGTGGGGAGAGGGGACAGAGGCAGGGGACGAGGAGAGTGGGAAGGAGAGCCACAAGGACTGCAGGATGGCCTTGAGTGTCCCGAGGTTCCCCAGCTTGGATTTGAAGGAATGGGTCCAGCACTTCAGTTCCTCTCATTTCTGGCAGTGTTCAGGGGACACAGTGAATTTGCCAGGTTTGGGGTTTTCCCATGTGGCTGGAGGAGGGGTGTGGCAAGGCGAGGGGGCACAAAGGATAGGTGATCCTGAGAAGCATACACTCTACACTGGGAAACAGGAGGGGAAGTGGGCTCCAAGAGTGTTCTGATTCACCTTCTCTGTGATGCAGGTGAGCGTGGCACTGGGATGTGTCACCCGTGGTCGCACCGTGGCTTTTGCTTGCACCTTCGCTGCCTTTTGCATCCGAGCATTTGATCAGATCCGGATGGGAGCCATCTCGCAAACCAACATCAATCTTATTGGGTCCCACTGTGGGGTGTCCGTAGGTATGAGTTCTCAATGCCATCATCTTAATTGCCCTCCTCCTTTACAGAGAAAGATCAGCATGTGAGCAGTTGAACTGCCCAGCATAGAGTTCCATGATATTAGTTTGATTATTTGTAACCTGTTTTTTGGAAAAAGGCCATATTGTGTTCTAGAAGTTCCAGAAACTGGGTAACTTGTTAGCTGATCTCCTGGTATTACTGTAAAGTGCCCATTGTTTCAGTCATTGAGAAATACTTATCCTGAGTGCCTCTTCTGTGTCAAGCCACATACTAGTAGTGATTAGGCCACCCTGGCATCACAGAAGTCTTTCCTGCTGTTTGGTCACCTTAGTCTGAGTTGGGACAAACAGCCTGCCAGGGCCCTGCTGGGATAAGCAGCCTGGTTGGATAGAATGGGAAGCCTCAAGGTGCCCAACAGCGGGGCATTAACTGTGGATGGGAAACGGGGGAGCCAGGAGGAGGATGAAGGTGTGCATTAGCACTGGATAGAAAATGGAACAAACTTGCAAGAGCCTGTGGAAAGACGTCAACATTGCTGACAGGAGGAGAAGTCCCAAACTGCATGAGAAGCAAAACGCCAGTGCCCAGTGGTTTCTTGCCTAGGAAACATGTGGGAGTTGTGTTTGTGGAGGATAGCAGTGGGGACTCTAGAAAGATGGGGCACCTGACATGCCTGTGGCAGGGCAGGTCATCAAGGTAGATGTGACTGACAGCTGACCCTTGTTGCCAGAAGGCTGGAGGGGAGGGCTGGAACTGCACATCTGGGTGTTGTCCCAGGGACTTCCAGGGAGAGCTTGAGTGGCAAAGGAGACTCTCTGTGGGCCAGATTCAAGGGAAAAGAGGAGAGAGGAGGGCCTGCACAGGGGCCTCTCCTGGGGCTGGGTGCAAAGTTAGTTTTAAAGTCAGCCAAGTGGAAAAGTGGTTCTAAGTCCAACCCAGAGGAACTGAAGTTCTTTGGAGAGACAACAGTCCCAGGCCAGGCAGTGTCCACGGTGGCAGTCCCCTTCCTAGCTGGAAGAGCTTGGACACCCTGGTGTACATTGGGTTACATGAAGTCCATGAGTTC